TGGAATTGATAGAAACTGCAAAACACAGCTTTTACAGCATACCTCTAACAACGCCTGCCAGCCGCGCACACCGCCCGCACATCCGCGTGCAGCCTATCTTCGCCCGTCTCGCGCGCACTAAGCTCTAGTGCGCGTACTTCTGCCGACGCCCGTGCCTGCCTCTTGCGTGCATGGTAGGCTCGACTAGCGGCGTTCTTGAGCCGCCTAGCCACTTCCGCATCATTCCCGTCCCCTTCAAGTGATTCCTTGTCCTCAAGGATGAAGTTCGGGAACTGGTCTCACATCTATTCAAGATCATCCCACGTGGCTTCTTCAGATGGCAATTCCTCCCAGTCAACTAGTACTTCCCAACGATAGCGCCCTGCTCTCTTTACCTTACGGTACTCAATCGCTCGTTTTGGTTGAACTATGGCCCTACCATCGGTTGCGGTTGCAGGTAACTCCTCACAATATTTCTGCGCTTCTCCCAAGCTTCTCTTGAGTTGTGAGACATGGATAACTGGGTGAATTTGCGAAATTTCGGGAAACTTTAGGCGATATGCTACCTGTCCAATGCGCTTCTAGAATCTGATAAGGCCCATAGTAGCGAACGCCTAATTTAGTGGCGGCTCTTTGTGCTGTTGTGCGCTGTCTGAATGGTCGTAGCTTTAGGTAGACATATTCACCTGGTGCAAAATTTTCCTCATGCCTTTTTCCGTCTGCGAAGGCTTTAGTTCGGTTAATTGAGCCTTCGAGATTTCTCTTCAGCTCACGTAACATCAAATCCCGTTCCTCTAGTTCTTGACCAACCTCATCATTGACCGTACTCCCCTCCGAATAATTGATCAGCGTTGGGGGTTTTCGCCCGTATACCAACTCAAATGGCGTCATCTTGGTCGACTCGTAGTAAGTGGGGTTGTACCAATACTCAGCCCAGGGTAAAAAGTTCTCCCACCATTTCGGGAATTGATGGACGTAGCACCTCAAATACTGCTCAAGGGTTCGGTTGGTTACCTCAGTTTGCCCGTCTGTCTGTGGGTGGTAGGCTGAGCTCATAGATAACTTAGTTCCTTGCAACTTGAAGAATTCAGACCAAAAGCTGCTCATAAAAATTCGGTCTCGATCAGAGACAATGGATCAAGGTGCTCAATGCAGTTTCATCACGTACTCCACGAATAACCTGGCAATTGACTTCGCGGTGTAAGGATAAGTAATGGGTATGAAGTGAGCATACTTGGTGAGACGATCCACCACAACCATAACACCGTCAAATCCATTAGAATTCGGTAACCCCTCGATGAAATCCATAGTAATGTCTTCCCAGATCGCCTCGGGTAGTGGTAGTGGCTGCAACAGCCCGCTCGGTCGTCGTGAGTCAGACTTTGTGCGCTGGCAATTGTCGCACCGTGCTATGTAGTCTCGGACGGTACTCTGTTGTCCGGGCAAGAAGAAAGTGTTGGCTATTCTCATCCACGTGCGATAGATACCCGAGTGGCCTCCAACCTTAGAGTCATGGAAGTGCTGCATAATCTGTTCGCGTAACTGCACACTGTCGGGAACATAGACTCGACCTCGGTGTAGAGTAGACCATTATGCAACTCGTAGTCGATAGCAGTTGTCTTTCCTGCTTCTATCGATTGGCGCAGCTCCTGGCAAAGGGCGTCCTCCACTTGTGCCTTTCTGATTTCTTCCCAAATGATCCAAGTAGGCCCAGTGATAGCACTCAACTCGGCTACATCTGTTCATCGGGATGGTGCGTCGGCTACTGCATTCTGTCGACCCGGTCGATAGATTATCTCAAAATCAAACCCCATAAGTTTAGATACGAACTTCTGCTGCTCGGGGGTAACAATTCTTTGCTCCAATAGATGCTTAAGCGGCTATTGGTCGGTAACAATCTGAAAAGGTCGGCCTAACAGATAAGGCCTCCAGCACCTTACAGCCTCGACGACTGCTAGCATCTCTTTCACGTACACCGATAGACCCAACCGAGTAGTGCCCAGTGCCTTGCTGAGATAGGCTAGGGGTCGTCCCTCTTGCACGAGCACAGCTCCAATTCCAATGTCACTCGCATCAGTGTGTACCTCGAACAAGACATCAAACCTAGGCATGGCGAGTACTGGCGTTGTAGTCATGGCTTCTTTGAGTTTTCCAAACGCCTCCTCGCTAGCTTCGGTCCATGTGAACCCGCCTTTCTTTGTCATCTCTGTTAATGGTTTGGCGATGGTTCTATAATCTTTCACGAATTTTCGGTAGTAGCCCGTGAGTCCTAGGAACCCTCTCAACTGCGTGAGACTTGTTGGCTTAGGCCAATCGACCATAGCTTCAATCTTTCGTGGATCGACCTTTACGCCCTCGTGTGATATGAAGTGCCCCAAATACTCAACCATCATCTGCCCAAAAGAACATTTGGATGGCTTTATGTGGAATGAGTTGGCCTCCAGAATTTCGAGCACTACTCTCAAATGCCTAAGGTGTTCGCCCCATGACTTCGAATAGATCAGGATATCATCAAAGAATACCAGAACGAACTTACGCAGATACTCCTAGAAGATAGAATTCATGGTGAACTGGAAAGTTGATGGGGCATTGCATAATCCGAACGGCATAACAAGATACTCATAGTGCCCCTGGTGTGTACGAAAGGCTGTCTTTGGAATGTCGGCTTTGTGGAGTCGAATTTGATGGTAACCAGCTCTCAGATCGAGCTTAGAGAAATAGTGTGATCCGGCTAACTCATCGAGCATGTCATCAATGCTCGGGATAGGAAATCGGTCCTTGATGGTCGCAGCGTTTAGAGCTCGGTAGTCAGTACGGAACCTCCATGTGTCGTCTTTCTTTTTGGCTAATAGGACTGGAGAAGAAAACGGACTCTTGCTATGCTGTATTAGTCCTGATTCAAGCATCTCGGCCACTTGCCATTCGATCTTGGTTTTCTGAAAGTGAGCATACCTATAAGGATGAACGTGTATGGCATGCTGCTCATTGATCAGTGGTATGCGATGGTCGAACTCCCGGTGTGGGGGTAACCCCTTAGGTTCGCCCAGTACTCCCCCAAATTCATGGAGAAGCTCCTGCACATCACCCTGCTGTTGCTCCTCTTGATCTATGTGCGCCTTAGTCTTTTCCACTACTACGACAAATATTTGTCCTCACCCCGCCAAACCTTCTCATTACTCTTAAGCCCTACTTCTTTGGCACCTTTTTCATTGCCCGCACTTAGTGTGACTTGCTGACCTCCGGCGTTGAACTCCATAATTCTTGTACGATAGTCAGTGGTCACTTTGCCTAACCCCTCGAGCCATTGTACTCCTAGGATGACATCCGGCCCAACCAGAGGTAAGGCATAGAGATCAGCCTTCACCGTAACTCCGCTGAACCTGATTGGCACCTTTCGGAAGGATTCAGTGCATTGCAGCCTCTCACCATTGGCTACTCGTACATCAAAAGGTTTGATATTCTTGGTTGGTAAGTTCAGCTTCTGGGACAAGTCGGTATTGATGAAATTATGTGAGGACCCGTTGTCTACTAGCACCACCATCTTCCGATCCTTGACCCAGGCCGGCAATCGCATCGTTCGAGGCCCTTGTATCCCGGCTATCGCGTGCATTGAGATTTCTGCTTCTTCGTCAGGCCCTTCAACTACAATATCCTGATGTGGTTCCTCCTCGTTCTCAGATCCTTCCTCATCGGGATTAGAAACTTCGATCACAAAGGCTTGCTTACACTGATGACCCGGTGTAAACTTCTCCTCGCACTTAAAACATAAGCCTTTCTCACGTCGACGTTTAACTTCCTCGGGAGACAGCCGCCTTACTATCGACCCCGCTGGCCGATTGTTGACGCTCGGCCGTGCGCCGGCTGTGGCTGGGTTCGGCCCCGTGCATCGCGTTTCGGCGTATCGCACATCCGCCCGTCCCCTTCGCGTAGCGACTAGATGGTCTTCTCGTCGGTGGGCCACCTCCATGTCGTTATGCATAGTGTCCGGCCGCTCCAGTCAGACTTCTGCGGCTAGATCGAATCTCAGTCCAGCTACGAAGGCCCCTACTAGTGCATCTTCAGACCAATCTCGCACGCGACAGGCTAGTCGTTCAAACTCCTTGATGTATTCACACAAATTGCCTGTCTGTCGGATTCGCGCGAGCGCCTCATTATAATTATGGTAATCGAACGTGCCAAATCGAGTAAGCAATTCTCTCTCAAAGTCAGCCCATGTAATGACCTTCTGCCGCCTACGGTAGATCCGGGAAAGCCACTGCCACCATACGTTGGCCTCACCATCGAAGTAGAATGATGCGTACCTTACTCGATCGTGGTCGTCGGTTTCTTTCAGTTCGAAATATTGCGCGATTTGGTTGAGCCAAGCCTTCGGATCACTACCCGTGAAGATGGACATTACGAACCTTGGCTTGTCAGGATTAGGCCGCTCACGGTAGGTGGACGCTTGCGACCGCTGATCGAACTCCTCCTCGTGCTCGTAACCCCCGCGTCGTCGGTCCTCGTCGTGTTCGCGCGCACGTCGTTGCTCGTGCCGTGGTGATGGTGTACGATTGGCGTGCTCGGCGTGTTGGCACGGTTCGTGCCTTGGGGGATCATCGCGATGATGTGGGGGTAGCTGCTGGAACACACGCAAGACTTCCTCTAATCGCTGTTCGAGTCGTGTGACAACAGCGTTGGTGTTGTTTTGACTTTCGTCAAGCGATCCCAGTCTTCCTTCCATCACCTCGCTCATACTTCGCATCTGGATGTCAAGAGATCATATCCTTCATCTCCTTGTTGGTCATGGCTTTTCTTTCTTCTCTCCGCTCTTTGCTTTGTGGACTCGTGGTTGAGACGAGAATGGTGATGATGAATGATTTTTTTTTTTTTTTTA